GTGCCAGCTCACCAAAGCTCCGGCTGAGGTTCTGCTGGGCACCCGCAGGCGCCTGTGTCCCAATAAATCACCTCTTGCTTATTGCAGCCAGTGTTTCGTGTGATTCTCCTTGGACAGGGAAACGGGGGTCTTTTCACAAGGACTTGTCACCGGCCAACAGCGGTATCACTATTGTGTTAAATATATGTATTTGCACAGTTAATTAACTATACTCCCTGGGGAACACAGAGGAATCCTCTGAAAATTAGGAAACTGCCCTCCTGCTCAGTCACTAAGGAATTGGGTCTCAATTTTAGCCCGTGCCTACCTCCTTCCCTTCCAGGCTGTGAAGGCAAACTTTTCCCAATCACCTGTTCTTCAGGAAAGAGAAAGACTTGTGTGTGTTATCCTGCTAAGAGCAAGCCCTCCGTGCTGCAAGGCAAGAGATGTCTGGGTCTCTCCAGCACCAGAGTCAGTCATCAGGCATTAACCTGGAGCCCCACCCAGAGACCTGGGAGACTGGAGCCCTGCAGATGGTGGAGCCCAGGGGCCATGGCCACAGTAATTGACCCCCACAGTTAGTATGGGTCAGTTTTATGGCTTCTGTAGAACTGAAGAGCTGCCCCTGATATGGCCTTGGTCACTCTGCCTTTGGCCAGTCCATGCCTGTGATAAGTTGTTTCTATTCTAACAAGCAGTCAGGAGTCAGTGAAGTTAGCTGGGTGTGGACTCACTACTGGACAACCCAGGGAAACTGCAGCCTGGGCCACAGAGGGCGTAGGAGGCAGCAGCATAGGTATGAGGCAGGATGGAGGAGCTTGGGAGCAAGGAATCTAAAGAAGGCCTCACCCCTGTGTCTTACAACTTGCTGAACATGTCAGTGTTTCTTCTGTAGGCTGAGAACCCAACTCTAGCTGCATCCCACTGTCCGTGTTCTTGAGTGGAGTCCATCTTGCAGTRGACCCTGGCACTCCAGGGCGTGGTAGTTGTGCTACGCAAACCCTGTGGCAAGCACTAGTGAGCAKTACGGATTCCACGGAACAGAAAATCATTACCTCATCACTTCTTCTCCCAACTCTTCCTTGGACAATTTTTTCCCCGCTTTTCCTGGCTTCTCAAACTTTGCCCTAGCACCCATCCTTTAACACTATCTTTAAATTTAGTTATACACAGAGTCTTTGTGGACTGAGATCACCAGGACTTAGAAGGCAGCTAGGATGTATAATAATATTTTCTGTCACAAAACAAAGTTTTATCATCCCACCCTAATTAAAGGTCCTTTTGTCCCTGGGCACCGTGGTACACGCTTGTCATCCTAGCTACTGAGAAGCTGAGGTAGGAGGATCACAAATTTAAGGGCTGGAGATGTAGCTCAGTGGTAGAGGGGTTCAACCTGGGTTCAACCCTTGTACAAAAAAAATTTTTTTTAAAGGTTCATTTGTTGATGCAAAGGGCAGGGTGGCTGTATCATCCTGTGCTCCTGTGCATGCCAAGAGAGAAACGCCTCGCTTTTGTGTGAGTGTAGGATTTGTCACACCTTTTAATTATAATCCCCCCTTTGATTTAGTCTTTAAGATGTATTAATACTGTTCATCTTCATGCTTGTGAGTCATTCTGTCTTTTTAATTCTGAATATTTCATCCCTAGTGAGCTTAATGTGTAGCCTGAACCTCTTCTTTCTTCCCTTGGTTGTGTGTGTGTGTGTGTGTGTGTGTGTGTGTGTGTGTAAGGGTTTCTCAGTTATCTATAATGAGAACTGAAAAAAATACATTGTTTTTGGATGGGAAGTTATTAATGCCTCTCAGTGTCAAAGGACAGAAAATCACTTTTTTAATCCATCTTTTTTTTTTTTCTTGGTGGTGGAGGTTCTAGTGATCAAACTCAGGGCATCACATGTGCAGCCCAATGCTTTTCTTCTGAGCTACACCTCCATCTCCAAATATGCATTGAGAGGGACTAACCAAAAATCACAGAGGTTGGCAAAATTTTAAAATGTGGGTGAGGAGTAGAGAAGAGACTTATTGAAGCATGGGGTGTGAGAGGTTGGGGCCAGATTTTGGAAGGCCTTGAATGTCAGACTATGGAATTTATCAAAGCTGAATTTGCAGGTCATAGGGCCACAGAAAGTTTTTTTTTTTTTAAATAGTGTTGATGGACTTTATATGTAGTGCTAAGATCGAACTCAGTGCCTCATGCATGCTAGGCGAGCACTCCACCACTGAGCCACAAACCCAGCCCACCACAGAAAGTTCTGAAGCAAGAGAGGACACTTTACCACCAAGCAAAGTGTCCCACTTTACTTGAGTCCCTTTTATTTTTGAGATGGGGTCTTGCTAACCTGCCCAGGCTGGGCTGGAACTTGCAATCCTCCTGCGTCAGCCTCCTGAGTGGCTGGGATTACAGGTATGTGTCATAGCACTGGGCTTAGAACATTTTTATTGGAAATGCCATTCTTATAATAAAGGAAAATTAGGAAACAATAGGTTCTGTATCCATAGAATACATACTTTTGACTACTTTTTCCTTCCATTTCTATAGCTGTGTAAGAAATATTGATCAAATAATTTAGTAAGTGGGACTGGAAAGAGTTCTTGTAGTAATGTCACTCGATTCGCTAATTTTCCAATTTATATGTCCAAAATCTAGTATTCTAAGTTATTTTTTATCTATCTGCTGAAAATTCCACATGGCCCTCCTTCCATTTTGTTGGGAACAAAGAACTGGAATACTTGATTACAAAAGCATATCACCAACTACATGGAATCATTCACTTTCCCCCATCAATATGATGTCTTTGTCTCTCTATCTGGCCCTTTGGAGATTGTTATACCCATGACAAACCCAAAAGTGAGATTTTGAGTAGAAAAAAGTACTTTTTCTTTTGTAAAGTGGGTGGGTGCTACTGTGAACAATTTTCTGAGTCATAACAATTTCAGAAAAGAGTATATATGAAAGTCCAAGCTCTAGGGCTGGGGACCTGGAACACTGGCCTAGGCCTAGCACGGGTGAGGTACTAGGGTTCTACTCCTAGTACCATAGAGAAAGTTCGAGTTCTAGAAACAAGATTTCTGAAGGCTCTCTGTTCCTACATGCCCCTTGTTTGATGGCCTCTGCTTTAGGGTACCTTTTTGACCCAAGTATGTCAGTATTCTCAACCTCCTGTATCTCAAGTACAACCAAGACACAGAGAACCAACAGGGGTCCACAGGGAAGAAACAGAGGCACCATATCCCACATTTCAGTGAGATAATGACTCTTATTAGTTGCGAAGCAGGCTSAATGAATGTTAGCTGCAAGGTGGGCTGAACACTCCGAGCCTCGCCTGTCTGGCTCCTGATCCGCTTGTTTGCCTCAAGTCTGAACTCAGCCCCCACCCGTCTGGTGCAACAGAAACCCACTTCTAGCCCTGCCCAGTCTGCCTAAGGGCAGAAGATGACACCCTAACCCTATGACGGTATGTTCCAATCRCTGCACGCCAACAAGGCAGCTTGCAGACCCAAAGACCCATTAGATATTGGCTATAAAAACTCCTGCCGGGCCCTCTCTCTCTCATGCTTTGGCTTGCTCTGTCACTCTCTCCTCTCTCTCACCCTCTCTCTCTCACCCCCCCCTTTCTTCTCTCTTTCCCTGCTCTTTCTTCTTTCTTTTTCTCTTCCTTCCCTGTTAATCAGACACTGCCGCAATAAAGATCTCTTAGTCCCTCGAGTGTCGTGGTCACTTTCAACTATGAGATTGCAGAGCTGCACAAACTGCAGACTGTACAAAATTTTGATGGTTCACAGTAAAAATAGCTTAAAAACAAAAGCTCTGGCTTTAAAACCTAAACAGAAGGAGTTATTCTATTAGAATAAAATAGAAACCATTTAAATAATGGCAGTGGTATTGGCAGTCTTCAGAAGGCAAACAACATCTGGAGAAAAATATGATCAAAAGAACAAAATCAGTTTTAAGGGAGGTTGGGCAGCAAAGTGACCCAAGGCACTGGTTCTCAATTTGAGTGGTTCTCAGTGTGACCCCAGAGAGGGCCAATGTCTTGTCATCATGACTTGGGAGAGGAGGAAGATTCCACTGGCACCTAGTGGGTGGAGGCCAGGAATGCCGCTAAACATCTTTTTTTTTTAATACTTTTATTTTGTTTATTTTTATGTGGTGCTGAGGATCGAACCCAGGGCTTCACATGTGCTAGACAAGCACACTACCACTGAGCCACAACCCCAGCCCCACTAAACATCTTATGATGCCTAGGACAGCACCCTGTCCTAAGAAATTGTCCATCCTAATTGTCTAGAGCAAAATGTCAAAATCTTGCAGGGGGCTGGGGATGTGGCTCAAGCAGTAGCACGCTCTCCTGGCTTGTGCGTGGCGCTGGGTTCAATCCTCAGCACCACATAAAAATAAAATAAAGATATTGTGTCCACTGAAAACTAAAAAAAAAGAAATATTAAAAAAATTCTTGCAGGGATCCAGGCACAACTTGAGAGGCTGAGGCAGGAGCCAACAACTTTGGTCATTACATTATTGAGACTCCCCGGTTCTCCCACCTCCTTTCCTAAGGAAACACTGTTGGCGCATCAAGACCAGGACAAACGAAAACTTCACAAATCAGCTTTATCCAGGAACAAAGTTTCACACCGGAGAAGGGGATTCAGGGACAAATGATGCCACGGTGGGACCCACTTTCCTGGAGGAAAATGAGCCCCCAAATAAAGGAAGGATCTGGGCTTATATAGGTTATTCTGAGAGGTGGTCTAGGGACACATCAATCTTCTTTGTGAACCCAGGGATTTGCAGTTAGTTCTATCAATCAGTGAAGGGGTCAGTTTCAGTGCCTGGGAACTAAGGGTCTGTTTTGCGGGGCGAAATGAGAGGGAGTCTAGGGTCAGTGGTCAGTTTCTGGGATTTATTGAACTGGACCTGATGGAGGGCCTGGGGTCAGTGCTGGTATCTGGGAAGAATCTGTTTACAGGGTTAAATGCTTCAGTCTCTTCCCACAGASGCTTTCCATGTTCCATGGAAACCTCTTCCTCAGGGTTTGTTTTATCACTGGGAAAGAATACATTGGGAAAGGATTAATGCTCTCAATTCATGGCTTTCCTTCTCACTCCCCTTTCCCCAGGTCTCACTACTTTTGGGGTTTGTCATTTCCCATACCTAATAAACACTTTCTCCATATTTAGAAAAAACAATAAACTTCAACCATCTTTGGAATGAAAAGAGATACATAAAGAATGTGAAATAAGAGTCTCTGGATTTCTTTTGTATTAAAAAAAATTGTCTACCAGAAGAAGACTACACACTTTGTTCGGAAGGTGGGAATAATTAAATAATGACCAATATATATTACCTATTTTGATGTTTTATGAGGACAAGAAAGCTGAGATACTGTAAGAAGGGACCTGATCTAGGACCAAAATATGAATTATTCCCCAGCAGTAAAATACAGGGAGGGCTTCAGTGGGCCAACCTGACTTTCTAAGTCACTTATTGTTACATAGAAAGTCTCAAGGTTAATTATGAAATATATATGAAGAGTAGGCAAACCAGTCCACAGAAATCCCTCTGCCTATCACACTCACGGGGGCACTTAAGTCTTCATCACCCTTGTCTCTTCTTTATTCCACTCCACCCAGCAGTAAATCACTGGCTTCACTCTTACAAATAACTTCCCCCTAGCCCATCACTGTATACCTGCACCAAGCCCCCTTCTTGTCTGGATTCATGAATGCCCTTGCCTTCTAGTCAATCCTTAATTCATTCTCTATATTGCAGTCATAGGGGATGTTCTTTGTTACTGCCTAAAACCTTCCAGGAGTTTCCACCTTATTCAAAAGGCAAGTTGTTCAGAGTGGCCCACAAGCCCATAAGGCTCTGCTCTACTCACCCCCTGCCTCYGGGGCTTTGCACTTATTCTTTCCTGACAGCTTGGCCAGCTCCCTCATTTCAGGTCTGAGCCTAAGTGTCCCTGGATCCAGAGGCCTGACTGCCCTAGGTGTACTTCTTCACAGAACGCGTGCACTCTCTATCCCTTTTCCCCCCTTTAAAAAAAAAAAAACAAAACTTTATTTTTTTTAAGCAACTGCCTGAAATAAATGCTCCCCCCTGACAACCCCTCCAGGGCAAACTGGGTGCCGAGCTCGCTGGTTCAGGGGTGCCCCGCCTGGCACAGCGCCTGGTCCTTGGGCCACTCAACACTTTTTCCGCGGGTCCACGATTGCCGCTGCCTGGCTCCAGCGACATCCGAGTGGCCTCTCGTGAAGCTCCTCTCCTTTTCGAACAGGGTGGGAGGCACTCAGGACGGCGGGGCCTCACGACCCCCTTCACCCATCGGTAGAGATGGGTGAACTGAGGCCCGGCGGCGCGAAGCCGGCCAGAGCGGACCGCCTAGGAGGCCCCAGGCAGGCCGGGCTTCGGTTAGCGCGTCGGCTGTGCTCAGCGGGGACGGTGACACCGTTCGCTGCAGAACAGGCAGCTCGGCGCGCACTAAGGGAAGCACAGAGCGCCCGAAGCTACCGGGACGTCGCCGCCTGCCCAACTCGCCGAAGAAAGGCATCCGGTGCATCCATTATGGCGCCGACGGCGGCGGGAGAGGGGCAACTGAAAGGAAATGGCGCCGGGGCGCGCGGCCAGGCTCTGCCGGCCCAGGGCRGCGCGGCCCAGGGCCGCCAGGGCCACTAGGAGGGCCGGCCAAGGACCCGAAGATCCTGCTGGCTTCTGGCACTGCAGACCCTGAAACTTTGACTACAACATGGAGGACAGTTATTGTCTCTGCACGGCAGCCCGCACAAGCAGGCCTCAAGTTCGTCCCGCGGTCGGAACTCSGCAAAATCCTCTATTCTCTAAACAGAATGCGCTACGCATACTGCGCATCTTCGCAGTAGAGGGCCGGGTAACGACGTACAGAATGTTACGTCGTGCCGGAGGCTCTTCCCCCATCCCACTCCACGTTCGGGTTCAGTTGGCGCGAGAGCTCTACGCCCTCTCCGTACTTTGTTTTTCTTAGCCCAACCGCAAAAAGCGCCCATTTCCGCAACTGACGCAAAACGCTTCCAAGAATTGCCGTAGCGCCCGCGGACCCCCTCGGGCTATTCCGAGACGCTGTTTACGTATCATCTCCGACGTACGTAGCGTTAAGTTGGAGCAGTCTCAGCGGCGGCCGCCATTTTGTGCAGTCGCTGGGAAGGAAGGAGACGCCTGAACCGCGGCACTGCCGGGTTTGAGCGTAGCCAAACCTACCCACCGTTTTTATAACCCCGATTCTCTGTGTTTTGCTCCCGTCTCCGACGAGAGAGGCGGCGACGGTGGCGTCTGCGACGGGAGACAGCGCGTCGGAGCGAGAGAGCGCCGCGCCTGCCGCCGCCCCAACAGCGGAGGCGCCGCCGCCATCGGTCGTGACCAGACCGGAGCCGCAGGCCCTCCCGAGCCCGGCCATTCGTGCCCCGCTCCCAGATCTCTACCCATTTGGGACCATGCGCGGAGGCGGCTTTGGCGACCGGGACCGGGACCGAGACCGCGGAGGGTAAGGGGACCGCGGGGGCGCGGAAGGCCAGGCCGTGCGCGCGGGGCGGGGGAAACAAGGCTCCGCGGCGGCGGCGGCGGCCCTGAGTGCAGGCCTCGCCGCGGGGTCCCGGGGTCGGCGGCTCGGCCTCACGGAGCGTCTCCTTGCGGGAGGCCGTCGTGGAGGCTCGGCCCCGCCCTGGGGAGCTAGCGGGAGGGGCGCCGCAGCCCCGCTGGCCTCGCCCGCTTCCCGGCCTCGGGACCCGGCCATCGCGCGGAGTCATTTGATCCGCAGGCCGCGGCCTCACYTGGAAGGAACGCGGTGGGTGTTCTCGGTCTGCCGAGGGCAGCCCGGAGCCCAGTGGCTCCACTCGGGTCGCGTCTCCAGCGGTCACCCCTAATGGCACCGGAGTCCGAAAAAACACTCTTTTCCCCCCTTTGTTRTTTATTTATTTATTTTTGCACCCAGGGTCTCGTGCAGGCCTGGTAGGCGCTCCACCCCGGGGCTGCACCCGCGGCCCCACCTCTGGTTTTGTAACACAGGTTTTAATCGCCTTCGGTCACACCTCGAATAATCGCGAGGAAGCACGTTGAGATGTAAAGCAGTGGACTTAGTTGGCATCCAAATGATTGTGTTTGAAGAGAGGGGTGGCGGTTTTGTACTTTTAATTTTTTAGTGTGCCTGTGATCCGATCTTTTTCTTTTTCCCTCTTAATTGTACTGCAACATCAACTTCTCGGCCTAAAAGGAAGTTTTTGATGTTGTAATGCCATAGTTAACAACATAGTTGGACTTCAACTTGGGACTAAACCTGAAGTCCTCTCAGATCCAGAGATTTAAGTCTTTTATTATAAGTTTACTAAACGACCATGTTGCTTAAGGGATACAGGTATTTGCGCAGTCATCTTTTTATTTATAAAAGTGACATTTCTGGTTAAAGAGCAGTGTGACTTTGGGCAGGATCCTTTTGTGGCCCTCTATTTCTTCATCTGAAGGCAGCAGTAATGCCTTCATTTTGTTGTGTTCTCAGAAATTAAGAGAATGTGGGTGGCGCATTTGTCTTGCTGCAGTAACTCTTCAGTTAATGATATTCTTTTCAAACATTTTGTCTTTGGTTCAGAGGCCCAACTATCAGCTTTACTTAGTCTCAGGCACTTCAGTTATCACTTAGGCCAAATAAAAATCATTTCAGTTTATATATTGTTGGGAAAATATTTGATCTTAATGCCTGATTTGAAGGGGAGAGCTCCATGTTTAGCCAAGTTCAGAAGTGGACTTCAATACCACCACTAAGAAAACATCTGGGAAAGTTGAAAAGGGACCCTCTCTAAGCTTTACTCTCAGTACATAAGACCTAGAGAAGTCCTCCCACATGTGCCCCAAGATCCATGTGCAAAAATGCTTTTTAACCAATATTGTTCCTGACACAAGGATATTGGAAACAAATGTCTGGATAAATTGTGGGTGTTCATATTTGAATACAATATAGTAGTGGAAAAGAAAAAAACTTTGTTCAACTTGGATGACTCACAAACATGTTGAGCTAAGAGCCAAATTGTAGTAAGACAAGTTTAAGGGTATATAAATATGATATAAAAACCAGGGGGGTAAGCTGGGCCCAGTGTTGCATGCTTATAATGCTGAGGCAGGAGGATTGAAAGTTAAAGGCCAGCCTGAGCTGTCTCAACCAGGCTGGGGTGGGGGTAGGGGTGGTTTATTGGTAGAACGCTTGCCTAGCATATATGACACTCTGGGTTCTATCCCCAGTACTGCTTAAAGAAAACACAAGGGAGGGGTAACAGAATTCAAAGCAGTGGTTATGGTGGGGGGTTTAAGCTAAGAATAGGCACGTGGAGAATACCAAAATACTGGTAGGGTTCTATTTACTTACCATGGGTGTTTGGTTTAACATTTCCTTTCACCGTATTTATACTTTAACAATAAAATTATTTGAAAAGAGAAGAAAGTTTCTGGTTCATATTTTATCCCATACTGGGTTGTTGAGTATTAGATGACATTTAAAAAACAAAAGCTTTTTTTAAAAAGCCTCAAACAAGACAGCATTCTTCATAAGTCCAATGCCCTAACTCTGCTTTGCCTGAATTTTCCTTTATAATTTGAATTGCTATTGTTTTCATTCTTCGCTAAATGTTACAGAGCTGAATTATTGTGCAGTGTAGGGTACTTTTTAAAATTTTTGTTTGTTTGTTTGAAAAGGGGATGGATGAGATCAGCATGTGAATGGTCCAAAAAAGATTGCACATTTAAACAGGTGTGATTTGTATATTGATAAAAGAATGTTGAAGTTTTAAGAGCTGAATTTATTGCATAGCCAAATAAACCATTTAATCATTACTGCCACTTACTTGAGAGAGAGAGTGAGAGAGGAGAGAGAGAATTTTTAATATTTATTTTTTAGTTCTCCACGGACACAACATCTTTGGTATGTGGTGCTGAGGATGGAACCCGGGCCGCACGCATGCCAGGCGAGTGCGCTACCGCTTGAGCCACATCCCCAGCCCCTTGATAAAAATATTTACTGAATATTGTAGTATACCCGAGAGTAGGATATGGGTACGTGTGATGGGTGGCACTGAGATGCTCAAGACCTCGATGGTGTAAAAGACTGCCTTGAATTTTGGGGTCAGCATTATTGAGGAGATGGCATATTTTCTAATAACTTTAAACTTCAAATTATATATTTAGTATAGAGTCATGTGTTTTGAATAATAAACCAGCTAGAAAAGAAAAGTGCKAGTGGTCCTTTTAAAACAAGCCATAAAGGAGGTCTGGGTACATAGCCCAGTGGTAGAGCGCTTGCCTAGTCTGTGAAACCCAAGAGTTTGATCACCATATTTGAATTTTTTAAGAAGTTTTGTTTGGGGGCTGGGGATGTGGCTCAAGCGGTAGTGCATTCGCCTGGCATGCTTGTGGCCCGGGTTTGATCCTCAGCACCACATACAAACAAAGATGTTGTGTCTGCCGAAAACTTAAAAAAAAATAAAAATAAATATTAAAAATTCTCAAAAAAAAGTAGTTTTGTTTTCTCCTAGATTATTTGCTTAAGGTTTGGATAACAAACACTGGAATACAGCAGAAACAGTGGMTATGAAGTAGGCTGACAATCGCTAGAAATTGGGTTTTAGTATTTTTGTTTTCTTCTTTGCAAGACTAATAATCTAAAAGCTTGATTTTTATATTCCCCCACTGCCCCAGTGCTGGGGGTCAACCAGGGCCTCATCTATGCTAGGCAAGTGCTTTATCACTGAGCTAGACCCTCCAGCCCTTTTAAGTTGCCTAGGCTGACCTTAAACTTAGGTTCCTCCTGTCCCGGCCTTCAAGTASCTGTGATTAGAAATGTGTGTGGTGGTGCAGTTAGGTTATATTTCTTGAAATAGTACCTGTTTCATTTGCAAGTGGGGGTGGTATCCAACCTAGGTATTAAGCCTTAATCTGAGAGCATATTAAAGATAGTGTAGTGTACTCTTTGTGTAAGAGTAAGTTACTCTGTATGTTTTCTTTTTTCTCTCTGCATGTGTGGTGATAGAGATTGAACCTTGGACCTCATGCTYGCTAAGCAATTGCTCTTCCTGAGCTGTATCCTCAGCAGCTACATGTATTCTTTTTTAAATAATATTTTGTTTTATTTGTAGTTGAACACACTGTCTTTATTTTATTTTTGTGTGATGCTGAGGATCGAACCCAGAACCCCCGCATGTGCTAGTGGAGTGCTCTACCGCTGAGCCACAACCCCAGCCCTACATGTATTCTTATACTGTTAAAGCTTCTCCTCTTTTATTTCCTGATTTCTCCTTACCTGTTAAGCAGCAATATAAATGAAATGAAATTAGCCAGGTTCTGTCCATTGAGATACCTAGTGATCTCAATAAAATTTCCTGCCAGAAATGGAAATAACTAGTTATTCTCAAAGCTAAAGATTTCTAATAGTTTGAATTATAGGAAATTGAAACTCTTTAAAATAGCTATTGCTGAAAATTCTGCAAGATGATATAAGTGAGAGTAGAAGCAACAAATTAGATTCAATACAGTGTTATACTTAATGTATATCAATTTAGGGAAATGAAGGCCTTCTTAGTGTTAGGATTCTTCTAGGAAAAGAAGCTTCTAATATATTTTAGGTTTAGCTAGTGGCCATGTTTGTATTATTTAGCTTTCTTATTTTAAAAGGTATATAACGGGAGATTGATTTTGTGTAATTTGTTAAATTTGAAAACCTTTACGAAGGCTGGCRCTGGGAGGCTGAAATAGGAGGATCACAAGTTGTAGGTCAGCCTGGGCAACTTAGACCCTGCTTCAAATTTTTAAAAGGGCTGGGGATGTAGCTTGGTTTTAGAGCATCCCATAGTTCAACCCAGTACTGGGGGGGGGATGCGAAAAGAAAAAAAAAACACTTTAAAAAGGTTTATTGAAGGTTTCTTCTGTCAACTAATAGTACTGTTTGCTCAGGGTTGGGAGATAAGTAAAGATGGAAACAGGAGGAGGGAAAGCTCATAAATTTGATTCCTTTGGATGTTACCATAAACTGAATTTCAGTTTCGGGTGAAGACTGTCTTACTACTCTGCTTAGGTCCCATAGGCCTTTGCAGAAAAGGAAATGAAAAGTACTAGTCATGGAAGAGAGGAGGGGTCCAAGAAGCTGTTCTAAGATTTGGAGATTTGGTTGATTTTTTTTTTTTGTGTGTGTGTGTGTTTTTCTCTCTGACCACAATCTTTTTGTAGATGGATACAGTGCCTTTATTTTTATTTTTTAATTTTTAGTGGTGCTCAGGTGCCTCACCCATGCTGGGCAAGCAGTCTACCACTAAGCTACAACCTCTGTCCTCCCTGACTGCAGTCTTGTCCTTAATTTAAAGCTTAAACTAATGTCTTCTATTACATGGAGTTGGGCATTGTAATGTATCTAGCACTACTCAAAATAATATTTGGCACCAACTATTTGTTGAATATATTAAGCAACTAAGTGCTTGCTGTGGTGAGTACTGTTTAAGTACTTTACACATGCCATCTTCACAGCTTACACAGTTGGTGGTACTTCTCTTTCTGCTCTATATAGGACATTGAGACATAGAGAAGTAAATAATTTGCTCTGGATCAAACATTAAGAAGCAGAATTAGGGCTGGAGATGTAGCCCAGTTGGTAGAATGCTTGCCTCACATGCACAAGGCCCTTGGTTCAAACCCCAGCACCTTGCAAGGGCGGGGGGATTAAAATTCAAATATTGTCTCATGCCAGAATGTGTTGTAATCCCTGTGGTATAGTTCTTTAAATATAGCAGTATGATTTTTTTCTGATTTTTATCATACTTATAATAGTGTTGTTGGGTAGTAAAAGGAAGTTTTAAAAAATCTTCTCTATCTTCATATTCATGTATAAAATTATTTGGTGTGGGGGTGGGAAACTATAGAGTCAACGTTGTGGGCATTTTTATGGCATATAAGATATATCACTTGGGGCTGGGGTTGTGGCTCAGCAGTAGAGTGCTTGCATCACTTTAAATTAAAATATTAATGAACCAAAGACTGCACTGTGTAGCTTAGTGGTAGAGCACTTGCCTTACTAGCATGTGCAAGGCCCTGGGTTCAACCCCCAGCACTGAAAAAAGAATTTTTAAAAAAACTGATGGACTAAAAAAATTTCTTTATGTTTCCAGATTTGGAGCAAGAGGTGGTGGTGGCCTTCCCCCAAAGAAATTTGGTAATCCTGGGGAGCGTTTACGTAAAAAGAAGTGGGATTTGACTGAGCTCCCCAAATTTGAGAAGAATTTTTATGTGGAACATCCAGAAGTGGCAAGACTGACTCCAGTAAGTGAGCGAGTGTGTGTTTTTTATCTTATACAAATAAAAGTAGACATACTGTCTGGAGTGTACTTGTGTACTAAGACTGGATACTCAGGATAGGGACCAGTTTAAATAAGCACATAATGTATTCCTTGGTTCTCATTGATTGTTTCCCAACCTATTTGTCATACGTGATTTTAACTATTTTTATGCTAGGTCAGGTCTTTTCAACAATGAAATACATTTTTTAAAAATAAATTAGCAGTGCATACTCTACTTTTAATTTCATTATAATAATTATTTTAGATTCTACCCATGAAATGGCTTTTTGTTAAGGGAAAAAAGTAATGAAAAGAGCACTTGGGCCAGGTTTCACATTTTCTCCTTTTTCCTAATTTTGACCTTAGGCACATGTTGTTCATTCTGAGTATGTTTTCTCCTATGTAAAGTGGAACCCTTGTTTACCTGTATCATTAACTTATAAAGTTGAAGTAATGAAAACATATATTTAGTTTTGTTAGTGTGAATTGGGAGGTAATTGTCAGCTGGATTGTAACAAAGTTTTGAATTGTTGAGAATAATTTATACTAACTAGTCTTCATTTCTTTCTTAGTATGAGGTTGATGAGCTACGCCGAAAGAAAGAGATCACAGTGAGAGGAGGAGATGTTTGTCCTAAACCTGTCTTTGCCTTCCATCACGCTAACTTCCCACGTAAGTGTTTTTTAATTCAGAATCTTAATTATGGGTTGAATAGTAAACATGAACATTAGGCTATTTAAAGGTTTTGACATTGGCTCAGGATGTTGTTGAAAAAATATGTATAAAGCCTTTCATGAAGGTAATAATTTATTCCATGTTATGGTTCCAAAAATATGTAAACCTGCTCAAGGCAAATCTCTTGTTGCATAAGGAAAATTTTTTCATGCTCTTCTGTTCTTCAGTTCAGACTGAGAAAAAGGTTTTTTCTATCTTCCCCTGGGGTTTTTACCTCTGTGTATTACAAAGCAGAATAAAGTTGCTTTCTAACTGGAGTTACTATAAATTTGGCTCCCAAAAAAGGACTGCCCATGATGTTAGATGCTTTAGGATAGTGGTTTTCAAAGATAGCAGTGAACTTCAGGGCAGAGTTTTAGGGTTTTTTTATTATTTTTTTAATAATAAATTTATTAGATGTAAAGCTGGRTAAATCTTAAAAGCCTAATAAGTTTTTGTTTGTTTTRTGGGTTTTGTGGTTRTTGTTATGGTTACTGGGGACTGAACTCAGGGTCACTTGACCACTGAGTCACATCCCCAGACTTATTTTGTATTTTATTTGTAGTCAGGGTCTCACTGAATTGCTTAGCACCTCACCCTTGCTAAGGCCACTGGGATTACAGGCATGCGCCACTGCCCTTAGCCATAATAAGTTTTTAAAGCCTGTTTTGTCTGCATTCTTAGTTTCATTTAAAAACAATGACATGTTTATTCTCTTACAGAATATGTAATGGATGTATTGATGGATCAACACTTCACAGAACCAACTCCAATTCAGTGCCAGGGATTTCCATTGGCTCTTAGTGGGCGGGATATGGTGGGCATTGCTCAGACTGGCTCTGGAAAGACATTGGCGGTATGTACCAGCAAGTGGTAATTATTTTAGTATCCTAATTGTTACATATACTTTTAAAAAATATTTAATTTTTAGGGCTGGGAATGTGGCTCAAGAGGTAGTGCGCTCGCCTGGCATGCGTGCGGCCCGGGTTCGATCCTCAGCACCACATACCAACAAAGATGTTGTGTCCGCCGAG